TGGTGTTGTACTGGACTACATTATGTTCAAAGGTATCTATATTTTTGTCCTCCCCAGCTACATACATGAGGGTCAGAAAGTTAGGAACACCTCAGTATACAATAATGTAGTCCAGTACAACACCACCTTTAACTATAACCTCAGTAATAAACATATAATTGAATTTATACATTTATGACAATTTCACCAAAAGCAAACATTTTGAGCTTCATAAACACAGATGTTAAGGTGGAAGTGCATACAACTGAACAGGTGTACCTAATAAAGTGGTCAGTGAGTGTATATTAGGGGGTATTCAATATAGAGTGTGAATTCATGTTACAAGTACAGTTTGAATAGTGCTTCAGTCTGTAGAGGAGCACTTCACGGTGGCAGATACTCTTCAAGTCACAGCAGTACAAGAAATACACTGACTGGCCACTTTATTAGGTACACCTGTACGATTGTATGTACTTCAATGAAACACTTCCACCTTAACGTTTGTGTATATGAAGCTCAAAATGTTTGTTATTGAGGTCAGTTAAAGGTAGTGTTGTACTGCACTACATTATGTTCAAAGGTGTCGCTATAGTTTTGTCTTCCCCAGGTACATACATGAGAGGGTCAGAATATTAGGAACACCTCTGAATATAATGTAGTCCTGTACAACCACACCTTTAACTATGACCTCAATAATAAATTTATAATTGAATTAATACATTTGACAATGTCAACACAAACATAAATTTTGAGCTTCCTAAATACAGATGTGAAGCTGGAAGTGTTGCACTGAATTGCATAATTGTACAGGTGTACCTAATAAAGTGGCCAGTGAGTGTAGTAAAATGACAAAAACAAGTAATGTTGAAATGAGATTACTATTTCAGTTTTCCTCTGAAATCAATAAGGGGGCTGGGGGGATTTCTAGCTTCAGTAAAATCACTAGAGACGTCTGTAAAAGTACTTACGCAGTGACTCAATATAAATATCAAAAACAAAACAGCCATCGTGTGGTCTCCTTTAAAATGTATCATGGAAGCAGTTATTAGATGGTGAAGATGGAGGGAGGCATTTTGATGAGCCTGGCTCATTTTTGAGTCTTGTGCCTTATACAAGTTCTCACTCTAGTGGTCTGTACAGGAAGTGCAGATGATTCTGGCCATGCAGGGAGGGACAAATGGTAGCTTGAAGTTATGCTGTTTCTCTTAATGTTGGCTTGGTCCAATATGGATGACAATGAGTCCTAAAGAGCCGACATAGGTGGTTGGCTTTAACTTCCAGGTGGAGCGTTACAGGCCAAAGCGGGCAGGGGTGTGTCTGGGTGTCATGGGGGCCTCTTCTCGCCTTCCTGGTGTGCAGATTTTCACTGATCTGAATCAGAGAAAAGTCAGACATGCTTTATTTGCAGTACTCTAGTTAAATGCTAAATATGTAACAGTGGGTAAACATCTGTGGCTGAAGAGACTGGAGACAAGGGGAAAGCTGACAGGAGCAGCTCAATATGAACATGAAAGCAGCAGGACTGGAGGAGAGTGAAAAGGCAGAATGGTGTCTGAACAGTCGGGACGCCTCTGACAGCACAATCTATCATCTTTAATTACAGCAGCATGACACCCTGACTCTGCTCACACTTCTCTTTTCACTCCTCTTTTTCTCTCACACACCTGCATCAGGCCACAACCTGCTTCTGTCACTGTGTCCCTCTCTCCCCATCTCCCTGTTCACATCAGGACAAACTACTGCACTTCGCTCCATACACAAGCTTCTACAAAGTTCATCAGAAATGAGACAAACTGTTAATGCTGGCTGGACAATGCACACTCTGGATTTGATCGATTTGCCTCAACGGGGTCTTTAAGGACCATACCATTTGTACATTGACTGTTGACTACAAATTTTGTATTTTAAATAAAATTATGTTACTGTGAGAACTCAGTGTGTGTTTGTTCTACATATCTGGGGGTCCACTAGTTTTTGTTTATCTCTGCTGTTTCTGCTAATTATGACATTACTTAAGGCATGCTTAATGCACACTGTGATGAATTACAAGCTAATCTCAGGAGTCTGCTGATTGAATTTCAACACTTACAGAAAAGAACAAACCCTTGCCTTTCTGGAATTGTTGGAAACTACACCCATGAATCTGTACCTCTCAAGCAACTTTGAGAACTATATGTCTAAATAATTTATAGGCTAAAACTGTCAAAATTAGATGTAATAAGATACTTTCTAATGAGGAATAAGTACAGAATGTTCCAAATTGCATCAAGGCATTAATGCCAATGTTCAGTACTTGATAGTAGGGCTGGAAACTAAAGATATATATATATATAAAAAAAAATCTGATTATTATTTCTGATTATTTGGTATAAAATGTCAGGAAATGGTGAATAATGTCAAACTCAAAATATTCATTTCAGTCATATAAGACCAAGAACTGCAGCACATCCTCACAAAACAAAAAAGGTTTTGTGGGTCGATATCCAAACCTAAGCATACCTGAGAGTTAACTAAAACTTGAGACACTGTCCTTTAAGTGCTTCATATGGAACAACACGGCCCTCCACCTCCAGCTCTTACCACTGCTGCAATTCTAAAAAAGTAACATTCACTCACATGTTCTACATTTATACACAAAACAGATGACTGGGCCATTTACTAATTCACACCCCTGATCTGTGCTGGTGAGCAGGGACACAGGTGATAAGCAGCCGACACATGAAGGCGTACCCGATGAAATATTTAATCCTTGTTGCACTAAACTCAGAGAGGAGATGCGTGTGAGGCCTGCCAGAGGACAAAAGCAGCCAAGAGCCCAGGAGAGCCTCCAGCTTTCATTATCACACATTCAACTTCCTCTGCTTAAATCTAATTCTTAATCCTATACCTCGAGTGTTACTTTCAACAGAGCTGTCGCAGACATGGTCACACAAACTCGAGAAAGATAAACCAGCTGATTAATTAACTATAAAAGTTTAAATCTGTCTTTATAACCTTATTTCTCTCTGTAAAGCTCACAAATGGGTGTGAAATTAATTTTTTGGTCTAATTTGAAAATGAACATTCCCCTCCTTTCTGTGCTCTGCTCTGGCACAATTTAAATTGCTGCAGTAATGGGGGTCAGCCAGGAGTCAATATTATTTCTTTCTGTCTCATCTGGGGGGACCAGAGGTGAGAAAAGCTCATCATGAAGAGTGAGAGAGGTGGAGTAGAGAGAGCAGGAGGAGGAGGAGGGTGGGGTGATGATATGGATTTGGCAACAAGGTAGGTAAATTAAATGATTCTGTCTTGACTGCGTATGGAAAATGAGGGCCACAGGGAACTTTTAGATGAGGTGCGTTGTGTGAAAAACTAAAAGGGGGAGAAATGGTCACTGACTTACCTGACACTACCGGTGTTGCTCTTCTTCTCCTGCTCCTCTCGACGTGATCGCAGTTGCTGCTCAGCCAGGGCCATCTCCTCCTCCATGTTGCTGATCTCCTCCTTGGCCCGCCGACGGTTCTCCTGCATGAACAACCCAAACAGATGAAGATTGTGTATGACAAAACAAAAGGAACATTGAGTCAGTCAATGCAGCAGATGAGGGTACATGCACAATGTAAACTCTATGTCTAAACATACTGTATGTCCAGACCCAAGCTTTACACCCTTTATGTGATTGTTGAACATCTTACTCCAAATCCATGGGCATTAACATGCTGCCATAACAGCCTCCACTCATCTGGGAAGGCTTTACACTAGATTTTGGAACCTGGCTCTAAGATCATTAATGTGGTTGTCCATTAAGACCTGGATCAGTCAGTGTTCCAATTCCCAAAAGTGCAGGTCGCTCAAGCTCTTACACACTCAAATAGGAGAACCGTTTTGTTATAGATGTGGTTCTCTGCACAGGCACATTGTCATGTAGAAACAGGAAAACACCTTTTCCAAACTGTCAAAAGCACACTTTTGTCTAAAGGTCAGGACCCCCACAGTGGGTTGCAAGATGAACCTGAGGAGCTACAAGGGGATTAGCTGGATAGGAGGGGAACACAAAATTCTGACTGTTGTCAGGTTCTAATAATTTACTTTTTCTCGAGATTTACTAAACATTTTTTCCTCTATATGCCCCTACAGTTATTTAGAAAAAACAAAGGGAAGAAGTCACTTTTTGGTGTAACTTCTCACAACCATTGTACTGTACATACAGGCTGCATCCAGGAACAAAGGGTCTCATGTAGACACTGCTTGATTTTAAGGGGTAAAAAGCCAAAGTGGTTCTAAACCACTGGTCTAAACTACTGCTGGATGATCTAAATCTGGATTCAACTGGGTGCAAATCAGCCCCAAAAGCACACAACCATGTGCACATTCCCATTGGCTATGTTATCAATGCACTAAGCAAATGCCTTGTCTTACCTGTCTGCTTTTTCCTGCATGTTTGATGCTATAAAACATGGGACCAAGTTCTGCCAGCCACTCTCCCTCCACTGCAGTGACACACTGCATGTACTCCTACAACACAAAGCCAAAGTTAACAATAAACACAGATATCGCACATTGTTATTATTCTGTGCACAGACGTTTTACCTTGGTGGTCATGACGAGCTCGTGGTAGATGATGTAGTCGGGAGTGTAGCCCATACCAAACAGGGAGCTGGTAGGATGGAGGTGGCATGGCATGCCTGTCCTCACATTCACATATTCACCAATGCCCTAGGAGCAAACACATGCATAAATAACAAACTGAATGTGCAGCTCAGAATTTCACAATAACAAAAATGGGACACTCTGCGTGGTAGTGTGCTGAAGTTTAACTGTGGGTGTGTGTATGACTACATCTATGGGTGCTCTTTAAGGGCAGAGCAAAGCAGGTCATCTGGGCTAATTTGCTCCTCCATCCTGGCTTAGACAGCAGGAAAATAAATTTAAAGTATACCCAGCACTGCTGCGATCGCTCGGGTTAGTCGGTTACTCATAAGTCAAACTGAGAACCTTGGTTATATAGTCATGATTTGAAATTCCCTTTCAGATTTTAGCACTGTATTAATGTGAGGCCAGAAGGGATATTTCACCACTCTGTAATTATGCTGCTATAAATCTGCCACAACTAGTTGCCACTGGGCATAACATATTAACTGAGGACATCCCAGAGTGCAGAAAGTACCTTGAGCTTGGCAGCCTGGTGGAAGTAAGCAGCACAGATGCACTTTCTGATGATGTCCCAGTCTGAGCCGCAGGAAATCAGGTTCATTCTCTGCTGCACCATGATGTCCTTTAACTGCGAGCGCACCTCACGCACCTGTACAAAAACAGTATGTACTGGAAATGGAGCCATGCAGAAGACGAGCATGTTGCAAGATTGTCCCAAGCTAGCAGTTGGCGTCAAGTCAAATTCAATCTGACAGC